TCTTCCTGCCCCATCCATTTCTCCAGGCTGCTGTCTGGGAATGCGGATACTTGCAGTCTTGAACTCCCAAGGGCCCACGTAGACCAGGGGCTGCAAACTACGGCCCTCAGGCCAAATCTGTCTGCCATTGGTTTCTCGAAATAAGATTTTTTAATCCTTTTTTTCTTTTTTCTTTTTTTTTCTTTTCTTTTTCTTTTTCCTTTTTCTTTTGCTTTCACATTACTAAATAAGATTCTATTGGAACACGGCTGTTCACACTAGTTTGTGTGTTGTCTCTGGCCCAGAGACCATTAGAGCTCAGTTCAGTTCATTCACTCAGTCGTGTCTGACTCTCCGCGACCCCATGAACCGCAGCCTGCCAGGCCCCCCTGTCCATCACCAACCCCTGGAGTTCACCCAAACCCATGTTCATCGAGTTGGTGATGCCATCCAACCATCTCATCCTTTGTCATCCCCTTCTCCTCCTGCCCTCAATCTTTCCCAGCATCAGGGTCTTTTCAAACGAGTCAGCTCTTCACATCAGGTGGCCAAAGTATTGGAGTTTCAGCTTCAAAATCAGTCCTACCAATGAACACTCAGGACTGATCTCCTTTAGGATGCACTGGTTGGATCTCCTTGCAGTCCAAGGGACTCTCAAGAGTCTTCTCCAACACCACAGTTCAAAAGCATCAATTCTTCAGTGCTCAGCTTTCTTTATAGTCCAAATGTATAGTCTCACATCCATACATGACCACTGGAAAAACCATAGCCTTGACTAGATGGACCTTTGTTGACAAAGTAATGTCTCTGCTTTTTAATATGCTGTCTAGGTTGGTCAAAACTTTCCTTCCAAGGAGTAAGCATCTTTTAATTTCATGGCTGCAATCACCATCTGCAGTGATTTTGGAGCCCAGAAAAATAAAGTCAGCCACTGTTTCCACTGTTTCCCCATCTATCTGCCATGAAATGATGGGACCAGAAGCCATGATCTTTGTTTTCTGAATGTTGAGCTCTAAGCCAACTTTTTCACTCTCCTCTTTCACTTTCATTAAGAGGCTCTTTAGTTCTTCTTCGCTTTCTGCCATAAGGGTGGTGTCATCTGCATATCTGAGGTTATTGATATTTCTCCCAGCAGTCTTGATTCCAGCTTTCGCTTCATCCAGCCCAGAGTTTCTCATGATGTACCCTGAATATAAGTTAAATAAGCATGGTGACAATATACAGCCTTGGTGTACTCCTTTTCCTATTTGGAACCAGTCTGTTGTTCCATGCCCAATTCTAACTGTTGCTTCCTGACCTGTATCCAGGTTTCTCAAGAGGCAGGTCAGGTGGTCTGATATTCCCATCTCTTTCCATAGAGCTCAGGAAGCCTAAATCATTGACTGCCTGACCCTTTTCACACATGTTGCTGTCTTCTGATCTAACTCCAATTTTTGCATCAGCCCTGGTAGGTCTACCGTGGATTCCATCACTGCTGTTTACTATTTTATTCACTAACTCCATTTGTTCATTCATTCCATTCATTTATTCCCCTACCAATTCATTTATTTATTCAGTTCATTCATTCACTTCATTTGCTTATTTACATCATTCATTCTTTCATTCTTTCAACACACATATTTCAGAGACTCTCTATGTACTGGTGAATTGAACAAGGAGTTCCTTTATATTGGGCAAGATGGCCATTCCTCTGAAATCACACGTGCGTGCGTGCTAAGTCGCTTTAGTCATTTCTGACTCTTTGCAACCTTATGGGCTGTAGCCTGCTAGGTTCCTCTGTCCATGGGATTCTCCAAGCAAGAATATGGGAATGGGGGCTTCCCGGGGGCTTGGATGGTAAAGAATACTGGAGTGGGTTGCCATGCCCTCTTCCAGGGGAATCTTCCCAACCCAGGCATGGAACCCAGGTCTCTTACATCTGAGCTGGCAGGCAGGTCCTTTATCACCAGTGCCACCTGGTTGACAATGAAATTATAAAGGGTGGGGACTACCCTGGTGGTCCAGGGGGCTAAGAATCCACCTTACAATTCAGGGTACGAGGATTCGGATTCTATCCCCGGTTGGGGGACTAAGGTCCCACCTGCCAAGGAGGAACCGAGCCTGCGCTCCGAAACGAGTCCGCGCATCACAGCAAAACATCCCGCGTGGTACAACTAAGACCCGAGGCAGCCCAATAAAGCAGTTACTTCAGAAAATTAGACAGGGTGGAGGGTCCGCTAGGGAAACGCAGGCGGTTGTGAGAGTGTAAAGCAGGCATTCCTGTTCCAGTCTAGGACCTGGAAGTGACCTGGGAGCGGAAACCTCAAAGACAGGCAGGTGCTGTTCGCGGGGCCTGACAGACCTGAGGAACAGCAAGGCCGCCCACGGGTTGGACAGAGAGGGAGGGCGCGGGAGGTGAGGGCAGAGGACCGGTGGGGCCAAATCACATAGGGCCCTGTGCCACCACAAGGGGGAGCTCTTGCTCTTACCGAAGGGGAGACGGTCAGGGAGGAGTGACTCATCCACCATCCGCCAGTCAAAATGAGGGGCTGGGAGAGCCAAAAGGAGACTCCGCGCTGCCTCCGAGGCCCCGTCGTGCCAACGCGCAGGGGACCCTCCGTCACGTGGCTTCCTTGTCTGCTCCGCTTAACAGCCCAAGGTGGTCTGGATGAAGAACAAGATGGAGATCCGCGAAGATCCCAAGTTCCTGATGACCAACCACCAGGGGGTCCTGACGCTGAACATCCGCCGCCCGTCCCCCTTCGACTCGGGGACTTACACGTGTCGGGCCGTCAACGAGCTGGGGGAGGCCCTGGCCGAGTGCAAGCTGGAAGTCCGAGGTGAGCCTGGGGGCGTGGGGGGGGCGGTGGTGGTACCCTTACGCTTCACCCGCCTGACCCTCATCCACGGCCGTTACAAAGCTGATGGTGCGGGGCAGATCTGGGCCCTCTAGGAGGACGACTGGGAAGCCGATTCAGACCCCAGCAGGGACACAGTCATGTGCGGAGGACAGAGGCAGCACAGGGGGGTGGGGGGTAGCACCTGACCCCGCCCGGGCGGGAGTCTGAGGTTCTCCAGAGGAGCTGAAGGACAAATAAGAGGTGAATGAGGATGCGAAGAGCTTAGCAAATGATTAGTAAGGCTTTGAGTGCAGCTGGGGAGGTGTGTGGACACAGCATCGAAACCGTCCGTCATGGACAGTGGCAGAGGGCCGGGGCCGGGGGCGGCCGGGAGAGCGCGGAAGACAGCCCCCTCCCACGGCCTGTCCCCGAGCTCTGTGCCTCCGGCCCCTGCCTCTCTGCCCCACAGCCTCGGCCTCCTTTGTCCTCTTCCTCCCGAATTCCGCCCCAGCCTCCAGTGTCTCTCCAGTTTCACCTCCCGGCCCTAGAGGGCGCTCTGTACCACGGCTGACCTGCGCACAGCCCTCTTAGGGCTCCCCCAGTGGCCCTGGGACCCTTCAGCCTGGTGTCCTGAATCTGCCACCCCCAGCCCCTCTCCAGCCTCAGGTCCTCCTCCTGGCGCTCCCCGTTTTCCAGCCACACCGAACAGCTGGGGGTTGGACAAACCAGCTGTGCTGTCTCCTGCCCCTGGGACTTTGCACATGCCGTTCCCTCTCCCGTCTCTGGCTTCAGTACAACAAACACCCACCAGTCAAGACTTGGTGGGGAGGCTGCTCACCACGTCCCTCAGAGGGGCCGACGTTCACATGGGCCTCCAGGGTCCGTCCCCGGCTGTGACGCCCCCGGCTCTGATGACAGCCCAGCAGACAAGGGACCACTCTTCACGCACCTCCTGCCTGTCATTTTAAAGCACCGTTCTGCCGGGCTGACCCACTAGTGTTCTGCTGTCCCCTTATCAACTATTGAATCCACTCAGAAATATGGCTTCTGCACGATTCCAGTGAGGGCTGGCCTCTAGCAGCTGCTCGGAAGAACAACATGCCAGCTTGGAGTTCAAACCTACAGGAATCAAGGGCTCGATGAAGTTGGGTTAACCTGGTGTCCAGCTGGGTGGGGAAGGGAAAACTTGACCCCCCGCTGCTGGCCAAGTGAATCTAAAGGGCAGAGGCTGAGGCAGGGGCAGGGGGCACAGGAATTTTTACTCCCCTCTTCTCTTCCTCCCCCCACAGTGCCGCAGTGAAGTTCTGTCCTCCACCTAACAAGATAACTAACTGGCTGCTGAGTCCTAACCCAGACTTCCCCAGAGACGTTTCCCTTTCCCAAATTATGAGAAGATGGTAGTCTTGTCTTGACACCTGTGTGTCTGTCCTTCTTGAGTCTGTGGCTCCGCCTTCCTCCTCCCGTAGGTTTAGTCTCCGGGGGGTGGGCGGTGGGGCAGCCAGGTTGGAGCGGCAACCACCACCGCGAGGCAGCCCTGGTGAAGGGGACCATGTCGAGGCTTGGAACAGCTACTTTAGGGAGGCTACCGTGTTGCTGACCCTGTGGCTCAGCTGGTAAAGAACCTGCCCGCGATGCGGGAGACCTGAGTTCGAACCCTGGGTTGGGCAGATCCCTTGGAGAGAGGAAAGGCTACCCACTCCAGTATTCTGGCCTAGAGAATTCCATGGACGAAGTCCATGGGGTCGCAAAGAGCCCGACACGACTTAGCGACTTTCACTTTCACCACGTTGCCATGGCAACTGCATGCGGACCCAAGGCCCTGTGGAGGCAGCCCTCTTGGGAGGAGCCACTGTGAGCGGGGAGGAGGCGGGCCGGCTGCAGTGGCAGCCAAGTAGGTCAAAGAGGAAGCCAAGGACTGACTTGGGGGGCTACCCTTATGGGGTAGACATGCTGGAGTGGTGCGTGCGGGGCCCACGGAGCCAGACACCATGAACCCGAGACCACGCTGAGGCAGCCATTACTGAAAGAGCTGCTTCCGCCACGTTCAGTTGGTGACGATGGGGAAAGTGCTCATGACCCGGTTTTCTTGGTTCTTAAGTGGCCGATCTTTAGTAACTTTAATATTAATTCATCTGTCCGGCCCCGAGGTAGGGGACACTTTGATCTCTGGTCTTTTGGTGACCTCAAAGAACGTTGGAGGAGTCAGAGTCCCCAGAGTTCAGACATCTGTGGGTCAAGTCTGGCTTCCATGGCTTGAAGCTGGGTACAAGAGAGAGCTGGTCTCAGATGCTTTGTGGATGTATCTGCTGTTTGGGGGGTGGGTGAGTGGGCCTTTTGTACTGTCTAGGAAGACGTGGGGAGCAGGGGATTCTCAAGGAAGGGGCCCCATAGGTTCCAGTGTCCCCACCTTTGAAGACTTGTGTCTTTCCCCTCCCCAGGCCTTCCGGGTAACTGGCCCCTGGCCTGGCCAACTCTTCAAGGCCTAGGCATTCCCTCTCCAGATCCCAGCGTGTTAGGTCAAGGGGAGGGAGGCTGGGTAGGCAGTGCCCCATTAGGAAACCATCGCCACCTCTGCTGGCGCATCAAGGCCCTGCGGACCTTGCTCTGTTTTGAGAGCCTCCTGAACTCTGAGCAGAGACAGCATACCCTTTCAGAACTCAGGAGTCTGGGCCCCGGGTCACCTCCACTCTCAGATCCCAGATCCAGCCCCTCAACTCCCTCCTTCTCCTCCTCCGAGCCAGGAGTCCCGCCCCCAGCCCCGCCCACGCCCCTCCCCCTCCTCGCCTCTCCCGCCGTCAGATCCTCGTCCTCGTCCCCGTCCTCGTCCTCGTCGTCCTCCAGCGCCGAGTAGTCCTGGGTGAAAGGCACGGCTCCCTGGGCCGAGTGGAACCGCAGGCGGTAGAGCAGCCGCACCCACTGGCCGAACTCTCGGTCGCGGCTCTCGGGCGGGGACCGCAGCTGCAGGTAGAAGGCGCGGCCGGTGCGGAACTTGACCTTGAGCTGCCACCGGCTTTCGTCGTGGACGAAGAGCTGGACGAACTGCAAGGGGAACAGCCTGGGCGGGTGGAAGGGGCGGCTTCAGCATCTGACCCTTCCAGGCGCCAGCAGCGCCCACCCCAGCGCCCCTCTCCGCCCCCGGAAGGAGTCCTTTGTCACTTGCATTTTATCCATCTCAAACTTTCGTCCAGACACGGAGCCCATCTGTGTCTCCCGCTGGTCCTCCTCCTCCTGAACGAGACTCGAATAGATAACTGCTTACTTGAAATTAACATTTGGATGTTGGATCGACTTCGGACAAAACGTCCAACAGCTGAATTCCTGACGTAAGCCCAACCCAAAACCTGCTCCTCTTTGTCTTCGTCTTAGCTATATCCTCCCACTTGCTCAGCCAGAAATTGTGCGAGTCGCTCCTGATCCGTCTTTTTGACATTTTTAACCGATCTTACAAAGTCCTGATGGCTCCACCGTTAAAAATGTACTAATATTAATACTCAAAATCCTACCATTTCTAAGTCTCCACAATTTCCCGCTTTCACCCCAGTCTGTTCCCACACTGCCGCCAGAGGGCTCCAATCAACACCCGGGTGAAATGGGGGCGTGCTCAGCCGTGTCCGATTCTTTGTGACACATGGACGGTAGCCCGCCGGGCTCCTCGGTCCACGGGGTTGTCCAGGCAAGAATACTGGAATGGATTGCCATTGCCTCCTCCAGGGGATCTTCCTGACCCAGGGATCAAACCCGTGTTTCCTGCGTCTCCTGCATTACAGGTGGATTCTTTACCTCAGAGTCAAATCAACAGCAGAGTTAGCTCAAATTGCTCCCAGGGCTCAGAGGAAACAGAGTCCTGGTCTTGACCGCTAGGTTTTGCAGGCTCTGTGCCGCTTTGTGCCTTCTCTGTCCTCCCCTCCCGCCCTTTCTCCTGGTTTACCGTCTCCAGCCATACTGGTCCTACTGTTCCATAAACCTGCCAGGCCTGGTCCTACCCCAGGACCTTTGCACAGGCTGTTTCCTCTGCCCAAAATCTTCCTCCAACCATCCCCATGGCTTGGCCTCTTCATCTCAAGAGAAGGGGTGCCCCTGTTTCTCAAGAGGCACCTTCTCAGGGAGAAGATCTGTTTACAACCTCCTGCTTATTTACAACCACATCTGCCCTTGCTGACCTCCCCATGACCACCCCTCACCCCCTTCTGATTTGTCTCCACAGACCTCAGCCACTGGACAAATTGACATCTATTCTGTCTGCCTTCCTAGTAGAAGGTGAGCTTGAGGGCAGAGAGTTTGGTCCAGTTTTTTCCACTGCTGTTTCCTTCATATCCAGAGCTGACCCACAGTCCATGCTCAATGAATGCTCACTGAGTATCGAATACATGAATCGCTCAGGCCCCCAGCCTAATTCAATGCCCAAAAAAGGCAGCGGAGGAAACAATCCAGACAGGATGGGTAATTTGGCAGAGATCACACAGCAAGAATTTGAACCCAAGTCTTACCAAGGTTCTTAGCAACACTGGGTAGCTACACACCACCCCCCTCAGGCCCAGCAATGTATCTCCAGAAACTGACTTCACACCCTCCCGGCTGTGCATGGATGTCCCCTGCCTGCTGCACTGGTAGTCACCCCAGGCACAGGACACATCCGTGTCCCTCATAGGTGACTCGATCTGTCATTATGCTCCCCAAATGGAAGAAAAACAGCTGACATTTTCAGAGCGCATACTCTGTGCCAGGTACTGTTCCAAGTGTTTCACAAACATTTACTCAGTTTATCCCCTGACAGCCCTGGAAAGTGGGTTCTCCTCTTATCCCCATGTTGCAGGTGAGGAAACTGAGACCCAGACAGGTAGGAAGCTTGGCCAAAGGCAGAGAAGAAGGGGTGAAGCCAGGATTTGAACCCAAGCTGTCTGAAGGCAGCCATTCATTCAAGGACATTCCCTATTAGGTTATCTCAGCAAGAGGCAGATGCAAGCTTGGTGCCCAAGGGGGTGTTTGTTGAATGGTGTGTCCAAAAGAGGACTTGTCCATCCCAGCACAGAATCGCCCCGGGCTGGAAGCTGGTTAGAAGTGAGGGGCTGGGGGGTGAGTCTAGAGCTGAGTTGGCAGAGCAGGCTCAGTGATGTTACTTCCGTGTTATGTTTTATGGTGGGAGAAGGCAGAGTGCTGAAGGAGATTACAAGGAGATCAAAGACCCCTTCTCAGCACCAACCTTGATATTCTTCCAACTGCAAGTTGTGACTCAAGTGGTGGGATACAATTAATATTGAAAAGAAAAGGAAGGTGTGGTAGAGAATGTCTCAGTACAGGGTTCTGAAAACAGAATACTGCTTTGTGAAATGTTTTCAACTTATCCAGGGCGGATAAATAAAGGCTGTATGTAACTTCAAGTTCGTTCAGGTCAGAATCAGATTATACCACTGAATGAGTTGCAAAAAAAAAAAAAAACCTTTTTGGATTTCAGAATTGCAAACAAAGGATTGTGTGTCTGTGTGTGTGTTTGTGATAATGTGACTCCATTCTTCCTTCATTCCTCCCCTCCCTTTCCCTGCCCCATTTCTTTCATTAACTATGAGATGCAAGTGGTGCTAGTGGTAAAAGAACCCGCTTGCCAATGCAGGAGACATAAGGGTCACAGGTTCAATTCCTGGGTCAGGAAGATAACCTGAAGGAGGGCATGGCAATCCACTCCAGTATTCTTGCCTGGAGAATCCCATGGACAGAGGAACCTGGTGGGCTACAGTCCACAGCGTTGCAGAGTCAGACATTACTGAAATGACTTAGCACACATGCAATCAAAAAAAAAGAAAAAGAAAGCCACGGGCAGAATGTTTCTGTAAATATACTCTACTCATGTAAATGCTTTGGTATTTGCAGCTGGAGTTGGAGGCAGGAGCCTAGGATGGGAGAAAGGTGTATTTTGTGCTGTGTGTGTCTTGTACCTTAGAGTGTTTTTGCATTACTTTTTCAATGAAAAAACAAAACAAAACACAAAGACCTGCAGGGACAGTGTGGAGAGAGTGGCCTGAGAGCTCCAGAATCCAGGGGGCTGGTCGTGAAAAGCAGGTGGTTCCAATCCAGGACACCCCTGACTCACACTAGGACCCTGGCCAAGTGGCTCCCCTCTCTGGGCCTCAGTTTTTCTTTTTGAGGATGGGGTTAAAGGGCCCCAGCATACCATGCAGTGAAAGTGAAGTCGCTCAGTTGTGTCTGACTCTGCAACCCCATGGACTGTAGCCTACCAGGCTCCTCCATCCATGGGATTTTCCAGGCCAGAGTACTGGAGTGGGTTGCCATGTCCTTCTCCAGGGGATCTTCCCAACCTAGAGATCAGACCCGGGTCTCCTGCATTGCAGGCAGTCACTTTACCATCTGAGCCACCAAGGAAGCCCATGCAGTAGGTGCTGCATAAATGGTCGCTCTCCTGACCCCTACTAGGGTGTGGCCATGGGCTGTCCCCCTCATGTCCATCTATCCCTGATTGCTGATCCCTGCGGATGGCCCTGTGTGTATGTGTGTGTGTGTGTTCTCCTGGGTGGACCGGTAGCCCAGAGAGGGCCGGCAGCCATCCATGGCTCCTGGCCCTGGGGGTCATCCAGGTGAAAGGAGGTGCTTCAAGGGACCTAGGGTGCCCAGAGCTGGGGAGGAAGGCAGTGTAGGCTGGGGGTGGGGGCAGTCACCCAAAGAGCTGCAGGTGTCCGTTCTCCTTGGCAGGGCCCGCCAGAAGCAACAGGTCTGGGAGTTCCAGGGCTGGACTGGAGGCTGCCACTCCCATGGTGACCTTGTTGGCAGCTTCTCCTAACCGGGTCACCTGGGCCGGGGGAGGGGTGGCGACAGAGGTTAGAAGCTGGATAAATGGGGAGCACGGTCGGGGAGGGATCAGAGGTCAGGAATTTTGGTAGGATTAAGGGGCATGAACCAAGAAAGTCAACCATCAAGAAGAGGATCAGATATCTTGGGGTCAAAGGTCGAGTCACCTGGGTATGAAGTCAGGGACATGGACTCAAAGGTTAGCAGTCACAGAGGAACTAAAGGTTTGGAGGTATTGGCGGGCGTGGGGTGTGGAGGTCAGGAGATGGGCGGTAAGGTGAGCAGAGGTTCCCTGCGTCAGGAAGTCGGGGCCCAGGCTTCGGCGCAGAGGGTTCTGGGGCTCTCGCACCTGCACGAAGTTGCTCTCAAAGATGGGGAAGTCTCGCAGCTGGTCGAATTCGCCGCTCAGGAGATGGCGCTGGAGCCGTCCGGGCCGGCCCGTGGGACAGGCTGGAACCAGGGGGCGTTCTACAGAAGCGGCGAAGTTCGCAGATCTATTCCAAGAGGCTGGGTAGAGGTTCCCTACCCAGGGCGGACAGCCCCGCGCGGAGGGTAGGGGGTTCCCGGCTACCGGTCTCCGCATCGCAGGCCCCATCCCTCACCTGGTTCCCGCACCTGGTCCAACCCTCCAGGCCCGGTTCCACTTCTCACCTGCCATCACGCCTGGTCCCGCCTCACCTGCTCCACCGAAGGCCGGCTTAGGCTCGGGCCCCCGTTTCATCACAACGCCCCGCCCCTTGGGAGGAGCGGAGGGCGGTGCCCATGGAGAAAATGGGAGGGCGGGGCCCCTGGCTCTGTGACGTCACAGCGAGGCGGACGGCGTCTATACGTCGGAAGTCCGCGTTGTGACGTAACCAGAGGGGGCGGTACCCGGACTCCCAGAGGGAGCAGCGGTCGCCCAGCGACGTCAGGCCGTGGTAGCGGGTAGGCGCTAGTGCGCAGACGCAAGAAGCCGGCGCAGGCGCACGGGCGACGGGATGCGGCCCGTTGCTCCCGGCGTGCTCCGCGGCGCCCGCCTGACTCCAGCCTCTGGGCTGGAGGAAAGGGCCCGAGATGTCTGTCCCTGCCGCTGGGGCGACTCGACTGCTCCTCCTCTTGCTGGTGGCGGCAGCAGCGCCCAGCCGGGCGCGGGGTAGTGGCTGCCGGTCCGGAGCCGCTGTGCGGGGAGTGAGTACTTATTCGCTTTGCACAGAGGGCAGGGCCGCCGGAGATCGCGGTCTTGGGTCTTTGGGTCGGTTAAGGTGGGAACGAGGCTGCGCAGGGCCGGGAGGGAAGGTGAGATGAAAACCGTGCAAAGCGAGGCTGCAGTCCTGCGCGTGCATGAGGCCTGGGAGAAAGCGAGAGGTTAGAGAGGCCCTAACTCGTGAATATGCATAAGGGGGCGGGGCTCGATGGGGTTTTTTGGCCCCAAGGCTATCGGTGCGGTGAAAACTCGGCTGCACCCAAAGAGGAGATCGGGGCAAGAACTTCTTTAAGTTTCGAGCGCTTGGGATCCGCAGTCATGAATAAGCTTGAGGATGTGTGGCCCGGGTGGAATCTTGGCAAATCAGACGTCGGGGCGGCTAAAATGAAAATGGCGAGGGTGGTCTCGAGAGAGTAGACGAGTTCCGTCTCCCGCATACACGTGGGGTGGGCGGAATGTTGAGCTCGAGGATTAAAATCTGGAACGAGGTAGCGCAGGCTTGAGGGTGGAGAGTGGAGTATTCAGAAGTTGGAGAAATTTGGAGAGTTGGAGGAAAGGAAGGCCTGAAATCTTGAATTTGCTTGATGGCGGCATCGTGACTGTGGAGGCTTAAGGTGACACCGAGGTCACTTGGATGTTAGCTTGGGAAGGATACCCTTTAACTCATGAATATTTATGATGCTAGGCGTGAAAGTGACCTGGAGGTAGTTGCCTTGAAAACGAGGCAACTGGTTTGTAGGCTCTGGTTTTCTGGGGCTCGTCCAGATCATGAATTTTCATGAAATGGTCAGATTCCGGTGGAATCGTGAGCATGCATCAATGTTTGGATATGGGTATGAAAATAAGGCTCTTCCAGCAGCCTACGGGTCTATGTGTCCTGGGGTTCCTGGATCATGCCGGACTGAGGACTCTGATGGTCCTTAAGTGGGTCCCTTTCTGTCACGCGCAGGTGGGGGTGGAAGGTCGAGAAAGCGAGGGCTGCGGCACCGTGGGGCTGCTACTGGAGCACTCATTTGAGATCGGTGAGTCTAACAACGTCCTGACCTGGACACTTAGTCACTGCCCTGTGAATTCAGGTGCCTCCCTATGTGATACACGTCATCCATTCACTCACAGCTTTGCACTTGGGAGTGTGTTTGCATTAACACGGGGGAGTTGGATGGGGGAAGAATAGAAGCTCTTCTTTTGAATACCTCTATACTGGTAAGACACATGCCCGTGTCAGAAAGGTCACTGTGGTGGTAATAAGCTCAGAGCAGACTTTCCTGACCACTTGTCCCGTGCCCTGCCCTGGTAGATGCTCCTCCTATATTAACTCAGACATCTTCAGAATAGTCATGCAAAGTAGGAGGTGGTAGGGATAGCCCCACTTCCCAGAAGAGCAAACCGAGGTACAGAGGGACACCAGACAAGGTCCTTTTACAAGTGAATGGTGGAGTCAGGACCTGCTCTAAAGCCCAGCTTAAACTGCGTTAATGCACTAATGCATCCAGACTCCCAGATACGTCAGTGTGGCCCAGGGGTTCATAATCCAGTCTGAGGCCCCAGACTCTGGAGTGGGGGGCGTTCATGATAACCACTGAAGCTGGGACCCTCCGCAGACCTCTCCAGTCAGAGCCTGCCATCTGCCCAAGAAAGCCTGGCCTTGGGAGTGCCCAAGCTTTGTACCCTGTGGTCTGCAACTGGGGAAGCTGAGGGCCAGATAGGTTATGTGAGCAACCCTGGGTCACCTGGCAAGTTGGAGGCCAGGTTTAGGAGCTGTGGGGTCTGGGCACGTATCGTGGGTTGCCCCGGGAGGCAGGAGGGCAAGACAAGGTGGTGGTGTCCCCAGTTTTTAGGTGGAACAATGAGGGCTCAGGGTGGGGAGGTGACCTGGTCGCTGCGAGGTTGACAGGTGGGCTGGGAGGTCGCTGAGTCCAGGTGTGCCTCCCCCCCCCCCCAGATGACAGTGCCCACTTCCGGAAGCGGGGCTCGCTGCTCTGGAACCAGCAAGACGGCACCTTGTCTTTATCGCAGCGGCAGCTCAACGAGGAGGAGCGGGGCCGGCTCCGGGTGAGGAGGGGACCCCAGCTTTGCTGGAATGGGGGGGCACGTGCCTCGGAGCACAGCATGCGTACTTCCGGGTCCTCCTTGGGGAGGGTGTGGGGAGGTACCGGGCTCAGGTGGGGCTCTGGACAGCAGGGTGGAGAAAGGGAGGAAGGAGAGGCGAGGGGCCAGCTAGCTGACTTTGGGGGGAAGCTCACAAAAGCTGCCACAGGCCACTGCTGCTCTGCCCCTTTGGACAGATGGAGCCGTGGGGGATGCGGGGGATACAGGCTTCTTTTGGGCAGCTGCGGGCCCCTGGGTGCCCTCCCTGTGGGAGATAGCAGGGTGACGTCCGCCTGGACCAGCACGGTGCCCATGTGATTCCTGTCACCCCCAGAGGGAATTTGCTACTCCTAGAACTGGGGAGTCCCTGGCCTTCCCTGGTGGCTCAGTGGTTAGGACCACGCTTTCACTGCAGTGGGCCCAGGTTCCATCCGCTGTTGGGGAACTAAGATCCCAGAAGCCACCTGGCGAGACCCCAAAAAAGAAAGAAGAAAAGGATTAACAGGAGCCCGGGTGTGGGACTGGACCCAGACCTGGGCAGCGTTCTTGGGGACTTGTTCCCTCGCTGGGCCGGGCTCTGCTCTCCTCATGGTGGTCTTCCCTCCCGCTTCCCCCTTGCCCAGTGGGGCAGGCCAGTGGGAGGAGTCTTGGGCTTGGGTGGGCCTTCCTGGCTGGGGGCCCCGTGGGGGGTGCAGACTTGGTGGGGGCTGGGCGCTGCCTCGCTCACCACCACCTCCTCCTCTCCGCCCTTGCAGGACGTGGCAGCGCTGAACGGCCTGTACCGTGTCCGGGTCCCGCGGCGGCCTGGGGCCCCTGATGGCCCAGAAGCCGGAGGCTACGTCTCCTCCTTTGTCCCTGCGGTGAGTCAGCAACGAGGACTGGGCCCCATCCTTGCTTTGCCCAACCGCTCCAGCCTAGGTCCTACCGTTCGGCCTCCATTGTCTGTGGCCCAGCATTTAAGAATGGGGAAGGCTCGGACCTGGTTTTGCCTTTGAGGGTCTCCTGGGCTGGAGAGGGGCAGTCCAGTTGGCGGGGGTTCCAATGGGGCAGCTCAGGGCCTTGTGGGCGCTGGAGAGGCTGCTGATTCCACCTGAGGTTGGTGGGGTGGGAGGGGGTCGCGTGGAGGGCTTTGAAAGATGCCTCTGGGGCCCCGTGGGATGCGGGGGCGTGCTGGTGTGGGCGAAGCCTGGGCAGCAGCCCCTGCTGGCCCTCCTCCTCTCAGCCCCCTCCCCTCTGCCCGCAGTGCTCCCTGGTAGAGTCTCACCTCTCGGACCAGCTGACCCTGCACGTGGATGTGGCCGGCAACGTGGTGGGCGTGTCGGTGGTGACGTACCCTGGGGGCTGCCGGGGCCACGAGGTGGAGGACGTGGACCTGGAGCTGTTCAACACTTCTGTGCAGCTGCAGCCGCCAGTCACTGCGCCCGGGTGAGGATGGGGTGCGGGAAGGGGACAGAACCAGGCCCCTCCGGGCCGGGCCAGCCTCCCAGCCTCCCACCCTGCCCCTCCCGCCACCCTTCTGGGCCCTCTGGGGGGTGGGGGAGGTGGGGGCGCCTCATCCCATCTTCTGCTTCTACTCCTACCTTCCCAGGCCTGAGACAGCAGCTTTCATTGAGCGCCTGGAGATGGAGCAGGCCCAGAAGGCCAAGAACCCCCAGGAGCAGAAGTCCTTCTTCGCTAAATATGTGAGTGGGGTTCTGCACGCCCCTGGGGCCCTGGGGAAGGGCCCTCTCCCTCCCATCCTGAGCCCTGCTTCGTCCTGCTCGGCTTCCCTCCTCTATGCAGGGCCGGCTTGGTCTCTGTGCTCGTCTGCCTGGCCCCTGGGCAGAATGCTGGAGCCCCGCCCTCCTGTGTCCGTTTGTGGCGGTGGTCATGGGGCATCCGGTCTCAGAAAACAGCCCGCCCCGGAGCTGGGCAGTGAGGGGAGCCGGGGCCAGCTCCCTGGGTGCTTGGACCGGGCTCAGACCAGGGACAGGGAGTGTCAGTCTGTTCCGTTTGGAGGGAGTGCAGAGGGGGGCGTGGTCGGGGAGGGGCGGGGTCCATGCCTACCAAGGACCGGAGAGGGGGCCTGAGCTGGGCTGGGGGTGAGGGCTGCGGGGTAGAAGGCAGAGATCTAGGGGGACAGGTTTAGAAAGGAGGGAGTTGGGGAGGTGTCCTCCAGCCAGGCCGGGGAGGGGCCTGGGAGCCAAGGGTCCTTGGTGCTGGTGACACTGGGGCTGGAGGAGGCCGTCCCACCCTGGGCCAGGGCAGGGGGCCGCGGAAGCCAGCGAGGTTGGGGCCTCCGGGCCTTGGGTGTCAAGTCTGCGGGGCCTCAGGTAGCGTGCTGGTCGCTCCTGGGGTCAGGAGAGCCAAACCACTGAGCTGCGGGCAAACGCAGCCTCCGCGGGCGCGCCCGGCCGGCCAGCTCTCCATGACGGCCGCCGGACGCCGCAGCCGCCGCTGGCCCTGACCTGCGCCCCCGCCCTCCTCAGTGGCACCTCATCCTGGGGGGGGCCGTGTTGCTCACAGCCCTGCGTCCTGCCGCCCCCGGGCCCGCACCGCCGCCGCACGAGGCCTGAGTGAGGACCCGCCCCCTCCCGCCTCCCCGCTCCCCGAAGCCCCCCAGCCCTCCCCCAGCCCGTAGTGCAGTAGGGAACCCGGGCCCGCTCTCCCCACGCCTCCCCTCACGCCGCGCCCACCTCCCCCACGGTGGCCAGGCCACCGCTGACCTCACCTCTCTTGTCTGTCTCTCCGTCCGCCTGTCCGTCCATCCCGTGCCGCCGGCTCACAGTGGATGTACATCGTCCCAGTCGTCCTCTTCCTCATGATGTCGGGAGCACCAGACGCGGGGGGCCAGGGCGGCGGCGGAGGTGGTGGTGGCGGAGGCAGTGGCCGGTGAGGGGCGCGGGGCCGGGGTGCCGCCCGCCCTCTTTCTCCCGGAGCACACCCTTCCTGCCCAGCGTGCCCGCTCCCTTGGTCATCTTAGGAGGACTCTCCGGCCCGACCATCTCCCCGTCCCGTGGGGATCGGAGGGCGCCCCCTCCCCATGTGTCCCTCCCCTCTTGTGCTTGGAATTACTGTGGGTGTGGGGGTGGCTGGGTTCTGGGCTCTGCTGCACCCCACCTTCCTCCCTGGCTCCACCGCAGTGTAGAGCCCACGCTCCCAGTCCCCTGATCCCGCACCCCAAGCCCTGTGGGGTGGGAACATGCCTGGTTCTCTCCGGCCTCCGTGCCTTTATCTGGTCTCACCCTGCCAGGCCAGGGGGTCCCCCTCACTTGTCTGACACTGGATTGGAACACCAGCTTCCTCTCTGTGGTCTTGAGGGCACCCTGGGGGTCCCCAAAGCCCAGAGCTGGCCCAGAGCAGGGGTGGGCCGGCCCTGGGCGCCCCCTTTTCATCCGTCTGCACAGCCCTGCTCCCCCTGCTCTGGCCTGTATCTGCCCACGGCTCTAGTGGGAGTTGGAATTCCTGCTATTAGGATGCCAGGCCCTCCCGAGGCTCTGGGGCTTGAACCAGTGATGCTGGAAGTCAAAACAGAGCAGACTACCGTGCAGCGGAGTCAGGGCCCAGATGATGTAGAGAACCCCTTTCCCGGCTGGTCTTTGCCCTGGGACTTTGCTGGCTCCTTGCCATTTATCTCCCTTTCTCCTTCTGTCTATTTAAAAACATTGACAACATAATTGAAATAGGTAAATGTTTGGGGAAGTTGCAGCTTGCAACTTAACAGGCAAACGCAGTTGTTAACTAGGCTAAGAGACTGTCAGGATGTACAGGCGCTACTGAATTCTGCGGGTGGCTAGGTGTGGGATTCAGAAACGTCAAAAATATGGCCGCCATTGTCATGGTAACAGTGACATCAGGCTCCACGGTGTGTATATGTGTAGCAGTTTATTAAAGTGAGCCCTAAATATTCAGCGTTCAGCTTGCCTCCTGCTTTATGTGGTTATAAATAGCGTGACATCGAAGGCTGTCACCTGCCTGTCCCTGGTGTGAGTTTGACTTCCCGAGGACGCATGACTCAAAGTAGAATTACAATAGGTTAGAGACATTTTGCGAGCAGACCAAATGGCCAAGGAAGATGCCTGGTGGAGTGTCCCTGATGACTCGATCAGGTAATTTTCCCTCCTGGAGTGACAGCCAGCACCAGCCAGCGGGGAAGGCTGTTGGCCGCTCTCTGTAACCAGAGTAGTAAGTTGGGGATTGTGCACTGACCTGTCCTTGCCGTTATGCTCCAGGTCTGTATCTTCTGCGGTTTTGTCCTTGGCCATGTCCAGAGAGTGGCCCTGTCTTCCGTGTGCCACCAGAAAGGGACACTGAGCTCACTCAGCCCGCCCTCCACCTACTTTTTTCACAAAATCTACACTTGACCGAAATACAGGACTGCAGACTGTGGCGGCGCAGTTGGTGTTTTTGAGAGCTGCTCTCGTCCTTTGCTCCATGGCGGTGTTTATGTCTTTGAGGTCCTCTTGTGATTCATCTGATGATGCCGAAACCTCCGTGTGCCCTCTATCTTCTGATGCCCTTGGATTCTAATCCTGCTGCGGCTCCCCCTGGCTCCAGGAGCTCAGAGCCCACCCTCCCTGCCCAGCCACCCCTCTGCCCAGTGACAAGAGGCCTGAGAAACACTGCCTCTGTGTTTTCAAGTGTGATGGTTGGGTCACACACCTGCCAGCATTGGGGGTTATTGGTTTGCCCACTTTTTTGGTAGCTTTAAGTCCTGAAAGGGTCCCCGAGTTGCTCTAACTGGCGTTTCTTTCTCCACCAGTAGGAGACGCTGCCCCGATATCTCTCCTGCTCCATGTGAATTCTGTCACTGACGCTTTCGTGGGCAGTGCTCACAAATGAAGAGCTCTTGATCCTTTAGTTCGCAGCTGTGATCTCCTGCCAGTCATTTGCTGGACCATTTTTTTTTTTTTTTTTAGTAACCTGAGATCTGAGGTCTTTATCTGATTACTTCCTTCTTAGACTTTTTCAGCCACTCTCAAGCCGGCAGAGTTACTCTGTGGCATATTCTAGTCAGTGTCCGAGCTGGTGCCGGTTCCCTGGGGCTCTGTCCCGGTTAAACTTCTCTTCTCAGTCTTGCCTGTCCCTGGAGAGTGCAGTCAGTTTTCTTTTGATTGATCAGGGTATGTGGGGATATCAAACGAAACCCAAAGGATTCTGTAGCATCCAATGCACAGAGCCTTCTGCTCACCCCAGCCCGGCACCTCTTCCCTGCACTGGGGGGCAGCCCGAGCTTTCAGTCTCCTGCGCCTGACTCTGTAGAAATTCCTTTGAGAAATAAGCAAGTCTATGTACACAGTTTTTGCAAAAATACGTTACCCCAGCTCCTCACCCCCACCCCACCACCCGACAAGTCAGGGAGGTTTCCGTGTCTGATACGGAGTGGTTCTCCTTGCACCTCATGGTTGGCTCTGAGTGGATCCTACTGGTCTCCTGTCGATGGACCTTTGGGTGCTGCAGGGACCCCTTTGTGCCTGCTTGATTTCCCACTCATGTGTGGGACCCCCAACCCCCACCTCCATAGACCAGCCGCCCGTTCACATTGGAGGTTGGGAGCAACCCTTCCTGATGGCTCCCAAGCCCGTCTCCAGCCCCGACTCCCCTCCAGGTTCTCTAGACCCCAGGCTCCTTCCCCTTGTGCCCCGGGGACCGATGAGGGAGTCCGTGTCACCCAGGAATCTGGGTGGCGCTAGAGGTAAAGAACCCGCCTGCAGATGCTGGAGACGTAAGAGACACAAGTTCGATTCCTGGATCGGGAAGATCCCTTGGAGGTGGGCATGGCAACCCATTCCAGTCTTCTTGCCTGGAGAATCCCCTAGACAGGGGAACCTGGTGGGCTTCAGTCCATGGGTCACACAGTCAGACACGACTGAAGCGACTTAGCACACATGCACAGAGATGGACACGCCCCACAGTGAGTGGTGCCACCCCTACCCCCAGCCTCAGACCAGAGGGCTGGGCCACCTGCCCATTGTTCTTCCCTGCCTCCTCCCTTCACCTGTGGCCCCAGCCCTGGCCTCCTCCTCCTGCACCTGGACCCCCTCCCCAGCCTCCAGGCCCTCCCCCTCATGGAGGGCTTTTTGACTCAGAGCCGCCTCTGCTCCTTGGCTCCCCAGCACCTTTAGGACAGAGTCCCAGCCCTCAGCCTGGCCTGTGAGGTCCTCTGGTCTCCTCTTCCGCCTCGTGAATCACTACCCCAGCCTTGGTTCCTGATTCACTTAGATGCCCCCAGGCCAGATTGCAGACACCTTCCCTCCTCTCCCATGCCCACGGCCCCACCCCTCCTCGTCCTGTCTCATGCCTTTCTCTCAGCCCCTGCCGAGCTCAGCCCTCACTCTCTCCGGCTTCTTCACCCTAGCCTCCTGAGGTCTGGTCTAAAACAGGTGAGCACCCGCAAGGCGAATACTCAGTGGAGGGAAGGCCCCTCCCCAATTTCCCGCCCCACAGAATGCCACCTGTTCCCTGGCACTGGGGAAACCCCTCCCCCCACCTAGGCCTTCATACTGTCATCTGGGTTATTGAGAAGAGCTGGCTCAGCCATAAGGAGCCTGCCTGCCAGTGCCGGAGATGAAAGAGATGTGGGTTTGATCCCTGGGTGGGGAAGATCCCCTGGAGAAGGAAATGGCAACCCACTCCAGTATTCTTGCCTGGGAAATCCCATGGACAGAGGAGCCCAGTGGGCTCCGTGAAGTTGCAAAGAATTGGACGTGACTGAGCACACACACAAGATAGTTGTTTGGCAAGTATTCTTTTAAAATATATTAATATAAGGTTGATTTTAGTGTTTTTAAAGAATGTTTTGCCACCCCAAGTTGTGCATTGAAGCAGGTAGCATCTGGAAACAACTCTAGAGGTTTATTTAGCCAGAGAGACTCCAGGTGAGGATCAGGGACTAATGTTTGGCTGGCTGTCAGCCATTCACTTTTCCTTGCTGGCTGTCAGCCATTCACTTTTCCTTGCAGCCACCTTGCATTCAGATAGTTCATGGTAGAGGAATCAAACTCAGTTTGATTCCAATTCCTAGAAATAGGCTCCCCAGCACATTGTATAAACTGAATCCCACTCTCCTGCGTTTCCCAAAGCACTGACACCTGCGTTTCCATGGCAATGCAGGAGAGAACCCACCACCCGTGATTTGGAAACACATGCAGTTGGAGCTCTAAGCTGGCATACCAAGAAGCTTGCTGAGTATGATGTTTATACATTGGTTAGGCGTAGAAGAGTTTTTGATTTTTACAGAATTTGGCAAATCCTCTCTCCGTCCGCTCCAGGCCCCCCCTCACCCCCAGGCACTGTCCTCTGGGGCCGCAGGTCCCAGTGTCTGTTAGAGCTGGGTTGCAGTTTTGTCTTCCGCCGGTAGGTGGCGATGGACGACCGCAGTCCGAGAGAGCCTCTCCGGTGACCGATCCTGGGGCCTCTCGCCGACCCACGTGGGCCGTCTTGGCGGAGAGAAGGGCCCTGCGGGGGGGCCGTCGGTTCTCTGGAAACGCCGTCGGGGCTCCCTTGAGGTCTCCGTCCTGGCGGATGCTGGTCTTCAGGCCCGCCTGGCGCCCAGTCGGCGGTGGGCGAAGTCCTCCCACGCCGCCTGAGGAAGGGACGACGGCGGAGGGTTGGGGAGGAGAACGGCGCGGGAAGGAGGCCGCCCCGTCCTCACCAAGCTCAGGCCCGGGTCCACGGCTCAGCAGAGTCAAGGCGCCGATTCCCCGTCAAGTGCAGGGCGTCCCACCCGGTCCCCGCCCCGCCACCTACCTGCTGTGTCTTTAGGCAGCTCGCTTCCAGCCTCTGAGCCCGTTCCTCGTTCCCCTCACGGGGGGCCGACTTGATCCCTCCAGGCAGCGTCCAGAGTCCGGGGCGGACAGGAAAGAGAGAGAAAATTGGTGTCACATAGGTTCTTCC